GCTTCTTCGTTGCGCGCAGGCGTGTGTTGTGATCGGCACCTCTCCCTACCCACGGAAGCTCCACAGTACCTCCACAGAACCTCCACAGTAGGTCTGATCGCTTTACTGCGTGTTAGTTTGCCCCGGGCCAAACAGCCACACTTCTCCTCCGCAGTTTCCTGCCCGTCTGACCGGGGCCTATGTAAAGTTTATAGTCACTACCACAATTCAAAGGTCCTAACTTTGCCACCTGAATACTTTAAAATTCAGAATCAGCTGTACCACCTTATCAAAAAAAGGAGACATGTCTACGTTAAAACTCAGTGGGAAGAACCATATCAGGCCACAACTCTAAATAATTCCAAAAAGTTTTAGGTCATAGTCTCAAGTGCATTCTGGGCTGATGACCCCTCCATGTCTGCTATCTCTTCTTATGTTTGGTTCCAGCACTTTTTGGCTCTGTTCCATCAAGAACCTACTTGTGCTGAGCCATTTGTGTTACCGGAGCTGAAATCAGGAAAGGCTCCTGGCCCTGATGCCATCCCTTCCGAAATTTTAAAATTAGATCCAGACTGGTGGGCCTCCCCCCTTGCATCCCTGTTTACAATCATAGATAGAACTGGCATAATTCCCCTGTCATGGCTGAATGCAATAGTGGTCCCATTATACAAAAAAGGTGATCATACCAACCCTGCCAATTACAGGCCGATCAGCCTTCTTTCCATTATTGAAAAGTTCTATGCTAAACACCTATCAGCCAAACTCAAACTTTGGATGTTGCAGGAAAAAATTATAGGCCCTGAACAGCTGGGTTTCTGCAAAGGGAAGACCACTTTAAATCACTGTGTTATCCCATTTAGTCAATAAGTACACTGTACGAAATAATCAGAAATTATTTGTTACTTTTCTAGATTTAAAAAGTGCATTTGATTCAGTTGATAGGGACCTTCTCTGGACCAAGTTAGACTAGCTAAATATGGACAAAAGACTTCTTATGCTTATTAAGAAATTATATACCTTTAACACCTGTCAGATCAAATGCTCGCTAGCAGGTAATTTGACACCAAAGATCTCTGCCAATAAGGGCCTCAAACAGGGCTATATTTTAGCTCCCTTTTTATTCTTTTTCTCACTGAAAATCTGAAATCTATAAAAAAACTAGGGGGGATACTTAAATACTCCCAAAAGTAAAAGAGCACCTAGGGGGCTAAGAATTGCCTTGCTGCCACCATGGGGGGGTGGGAGGCTTGGTGGGCTGGCTGCTCAGGCCTCACCACTG